ACAGTGAAATATTGGCATTTATTTCAATACATGTACTGTTGTAATATTGTATTAGTTCTATGAGTATGAATACACAGTAAAATATTGACAGTTATTTAAATACATGTACTGTTTGTAATCTTCTGTCAGTTTTATGATTATGAATACACAGTAAAATATTGACAGTTATTTAAATACATGTACTGTTTGTAATCTTGTATTATTTCTATGAGTATGAATACACAGTAAAATATTGACAGTTATATGTACTGTCTGTAATCTTGTGTTACTTCTAATAATATGAATACAGAGTAAAATATTCAAAGATATTTAAATACATGTACTGTTTGTAATATTGTGTTACTTCTATGAATATGAATACACAGTAAAATATTCAAAGATATTTAAATACATGTACTGTTTGTAATATTGTGTTACTCCTATGAATATGAATACACAGCAAAATATTGACAGTTATTTAAATATTTGTACTGTTGTAATATTGTGTTAGTTCTATTAGTATGAATACACAGTAAAATATTGAAAGTTATTTAAATACTGGTACTGTTTGTAATCTTATGCTAGTTCTCTGAATATGAACAGTTATTTAAATACCTGTACTGTTTGGTATAGGTATGTAATCTTGGGTTAATTCTATGAATATGAAAACACAGTGAAATATTGACAGTTATTTAAATACCTGTACTGTTTGATATAGGTATGTAATCTTGTGTTAGTTCTATCAATATCAATACACAGTAAAATATTGACAGTTATTTAAATTCATTTACTGTTTTAATATTGTGTTAGTTCTATGAATATGAATACACAGTAAAATATTGACAGTTATTTAAATACATTTACTGTTTGTAATATTTTGTTAGTTCTATGAATATGAATACAGAGTAAAATACTGACACTTATTTAAATGTTTCTATTGTTTGTAATTTTGTGCTACTTCTATGAATATGAATACACAGTGAAATATTTACTGTTATTTAAATACATGTACTGTTTGGTATACATATGTAAACATGTGTTAGTTCTATGAATATGAATACACAGTGAAATATTGACAGCAATTTAAATATTTGTACTGTTTGTAATCTTGTGTTAGTTCTATGAATATGAATACACAGTGAAATATTGACAGTAATTTAAATATTTGTACTGTTTGTAATCTTGTTTTCGTTCTATGAATATGGAATGCACAGTAAAATACTGACAGTTATATAAATACATGTACTGTTTGTAATATTGTGTTACTTCTATGAATATGAATACACAGCGAGATATTGACAGTTATTTAAATACCTGTATTGTTTGAAATCTTGTGTAAGTTATTTGAATATGAATACACAGTAAAATATTGGCAGTTATTCAAATACATTTACTGTTTTTAATTTTGTGTTAGTTCTTTGAATATAAATACAATGTAAAATATTAACAGTTATATAAATACATGTACTGTTTGTAATATTGTGTTACTTCTATGAATATGAATACACAGCGAAATATTGACAGTTATTTAAATACTTGTACTGTTTGGTATACATATGTAATCATGTGTTAGTTTTATCAAAATGAATACACAGCGAAATATTGATAGTTATTGAAATACATTAACTATTTGTAATCTTGTGTTAGTTATATGAATATGAATGCAATGTAAAATATTGACAGTTATTTAAATACATTTAAAGTTCATAATCTCATGTTAGTTCTATAAATATGAATACACAGTAAAATATAGACAGTTATTTAAATGCATGTACTGTTTGTAATCTTGTGTTATTTCTATGAGTATGAATACACAGTAAAATATTGACAGTTATTTAAATGCATGTACTGTTTGTAATCTTGTGTTATTTCTATGAGTATGAATACACAGTAAAATATTGACAGTTATTTAAATGCATGTACTGTTTGTAATCTTGTGTTATTTCTATGAGTATGAAT